TTTTTTTTTTTTTTTGTGGCATATGCAGGGTAGCACTGTCCACTGAGCTACATCCCAGCTTTGTCCTTATGTACTTTTTTCTTTTTTTTTTTTTTTGATACTGGGGAATCGAACTCAGGACCTTGTGAGACACATGTGGTGCCACTGAGCTAAATCCCCGGCCCTGTATGCATTTTTATGATAGAAAAGGGATTTTTGTTTTGGAGGAAAAGGCCCAAAAGGCAAGCATAAATAGCAGGTAAGGAGCCAAGGATAAACCTGAAAAAGGATCAGCCTTTGACAGGAATGAGAGAACAGATCTTTTTTCCTTAGTACAGTTAGGAAGCTATGCTTGCATTTGTTTATTTATCTATCAATCATTTATTTATTTAGAGTCAGAGTCTCATTGTTTATCCCAGGCTGGCACTGAACTCATGGCCATCCTTCTGCCTCAGCCTCCCAAGTACTGGGATTATGGGAAGGCACTTCAACTCCTAGCTAAGAAACAATGCTTTTTTTTTGGTACGGGGATTGAACTTGGGTCCTTGTGTTTGCGAGACAGGCAGCAGAACCACTGAACTACATCCCCGGCTAGGAAACTATGCTTTTTTAATGCATGTACCTGGATTTTAGTCAGTGGACTGTGACAGAAACCAACCATGTCGAACTTTTGGGAAATTCAAATGCAAATGAGGATTTTATGAGCGAGTTCAGTGTATTAAAACCTTAAGACCTAGGCATGAGTGGCAATTGCTCTTTCTCTATTTCTTTCTTTTTATTTTTTTGGTATCAAGGATCAAACTCAGGACCTTGTGCTTGCAAGAACCTTGTGCAGGCAGCAGAACCACTGAGCTAAATCCCTAGCCCTTCTATTTCTTTTTTGAGACAAGATTTCACTATGTAGTTCAGGGTGTCCTGGAATTTAGGACGATCCTTCTGCCTCAGCCTCCTGAGTGCTGGGATTGCAGGCATGAGTCCATGCCCAGCGACTTAAATAATATGAATGAAGATGTCTTGAGGTAGGTTTGCCTAGGAACTATTTCTAAAATTTTGTTTTGAACATGAGCATTGGGGCACCCATTTCTTCAAATGGCCTTCATTCCCAGTGTTGTGAGACACTCTGAGAACAAAGTAATACTTAGTATGGTAGCTTTCAAGAAGTCACAACATCCTGGGGCTGGAGATTTGGCTCAGTGGTTCGGCTGCCTGCCTCGCAAGCTCCATGGCCCAAATTCAATCCCTGGTACTAAAAAAAAAAAAAAAAAGAAGAAGAAGTCACAACATCCTGAAATATGTCTTTTCTGTCTTAGGCAACAGTTACAGCACTCCACAAATCAGCTCGCCAAGGAAACAAATGAATTGCTGAAGGAATTAGGGTCCCTGCCCCTTCCCTTATCCACTTCAGAGCAGGTTGGTATTTTCTGTTTTGCTATGTTTATTATTAGGAAAAGGCTTTATTTTTAGTTAAAAGGGAAAAAAAAGCAGTATGGGGAACAAAAATAAGTTGGCCTTTGTTGCTAGATGTACCTTCTCTGAACCTCAATTTTCTTATCTGTTAAAATGTGAGGGATGTTACTATTGGGGCAGTAGAAAAATATATGCACAGATATTGTAATGTGCCTGGCACTCAGTAAGTGTTCAACATATGGTGGCTACTGCTGTTGTTAACATTAATGTACTAGATTGAGCTGGAGAGGAACTTCAATGTTTGCGTCTCTTTGGGTTTGGCTAGCAGCTGTATGTTTACAGGCTTGATTGTACTTTGTTTTATATCCAGTATCTATACATTTTAATCCAAATATTTGCAAAGGGACCTTTGTGTCCCACTTAGGGTCATTTATAGGTCACAGGCTAAGGAAATGCTCAAGGAAGGTTTCTCTTTTCAAGTCATTTTGCTCAGTGGCCGTTCAGATTCTTTAACACCGTCCCATTGGCTTGAACCACCAGCAGTAAATGCGTGCTTATCCCACCCAGTCGGACTTTCCCGTGCCACCAGATGGGACAGTCATGCATGTACTGCCCATGGTTCAGAGCTGTCTGGCAACAAGATGTACGGATTATAGCACCATCTCGAACATGTTAAATATACACAACTTTTACTCAGATTCATTGTTCCTTTCATAAGCTATTTCTTCTTTAATTCCTGAAATTAGATGTGTCCCCTCCTTTATCAACACTTACCTCTTAACTATCATCCATTGTCTACCTTCAGGAAAAAAGTTCCATTGACCTTAGCCTGTTGTGCTTCTAGCTTCTGTACCATTCAAGGGGGCGCTTAACATACATAACTTTTATTATTGAACTTTTAAAATATCCTATCACAGATGGTTCTAAAGACACAGCCTTCAACTTCTCTTCTGGGTTTTTCAAACTTTGGCTTGTGGCTACTGAAACATGAAATCATTTTAGTATGTTATGAGCAGTATTTTAAAAAACTAAAATAGAGTAGAAATATCAAAGTGTATACCACGTGATGAGTAAATATTGTTACATGAAACTTGTTTCTTACATTTATGATAGCTCTCAAGAAGTCACAATATACATATTATGAATATATATTAGGTTATCATGTCAGATTCTTACCGTGGGTCTCCATCAGAAAAGTTTGAAAAGCACCAGTTTAACCTGGCAAGCTGTTTAATGTAGCGTGTATTCAGTCCTGAAATTTTTGTACCCTTTACATTAAACAGGAGCTAAAGCGTGGCATGGTGGCACACACCTGTAATACCAACACTAGGGAGACTGAGGCAGGAGGATCACCATGAGTTAAAGGCCAGCCTGGCTGCACAGTGAATTCAAGACCAGCGTCAACTACATACCAATACCCTGTCTCAAAAAGAAAAAAAAAAAAGAAAGAAAAGAAAAAGAAAGGGAGCCAATATCTTCCTGCTACAAAATAGTTACGATAAAATGTAATCTTAGTTTTAAAAAAAAGTAATCAGTGTAATTACGCTCCAGTTATCCACATATGGGTGGTTTGTTTTAGTTGGTGCCTGTAGTTACACTTCCTTCCCATCCAGCTTGCTTCCAAATTATCCCTTTACCCCCTCCTAGCTGTGTGCTTAGGGAATACACATTTCTAGATAGATTTCATGAAACAAAAAAAGGAATCTAAGTGTCTGGTGCAGACAGAGTACTGTTAAAAGTATCCAATGGTTAAATAGTAGTCTAAGCAAAATATAAATAGCTAAATCTACAACCAATATAAATTCATCTAATATGTTCCAAAACCAATAGAAGTTATTTTTGGATTATGCACGCTCTTATTCCCTTCCATTAGCTTGGATCATTAAGAACACAAAACAGATCTACAAATGTACTCTCTCAGGTGAAATACAATTCCTTGGTTCCCTTTCTGCTATTGTGCTGATACCCTTTGTCTTTTTGCTCTTTCTACATCAGAATCTATCTTAGCCCCATCAACCATCTTTTTAACACTATCATACATTCTACTTAGAGTTTTTCCCCATACCTATACTATCAGTGATCGTCTAATTCTCAAACCCTGGCCTCTTTTTTATTCATGTTTCTTCCAGATCCTCTTGCCCACCCTGTTTCCACTGAAACTTTCTTTCTGTGATTCTGTTTTGTTCTGTTTCCCACTCTACTGATTCCCAGTTTGAGTCTCAGCCTCCTTCCTGGACTCTAATGCTCTAGGAGGAGGCATGCTCCAAGGCTCTGCTGGGACCTTCTGGTTTTCTGACTCTGTTCTTTCTTCTCCAAGAGTCTTACCTACTGTTGTGACCTCCCTGCCACCCTCATGATCATGACCCTTAGATCTTTTCCCAACCTTAGTTAGCCTCCAAGTACTTAATCTGTATCACCAATTCTTGTCTTGATATTTCCTGCCTTGCAAGCACAAGGACCCAAGTTCAATCCCCGGTACAAAGAAAAAAAAAAGAAAAGAAAGGAAAAAAAAAAACAGATATAAGTTGACTGACAATAATTGTCATAGGAAAGAAGTTGATGGCTCTCTCTACCTCTTGCTGCTGATGCGTTGAGCGGCTTTTCTCTGCAAAGGCCTTCTACCCAGTTTCTGCCTGGGGACAGTCAACTGTGGGCTAAATCCTTGGAATCTTTCAGCCAAAACAAACTTCTCCTCTTAAAAAGAGATAAAGAGGGGTCTGATTTTTATTTTATTTTTTTATTTTTGTACCAGGGGTTGAACTCAGGACTTTGCACTTGTGAAGCTCTATAGAAGAGATAAAGAAAAAAAAAAGCTCATACCTCTTGGCTTAATATTTCCACTCATGCAGATTTCTCCAAAGGAAAAAAATGTACCTGGAGCCAAATATAAATATTAACTGTTATAGTAGGGCTCACTTTAGCTTTATTTGGTTTTTTTTGTTGTTGTTGTTGTTTTGTACTGGGGATCGAACTCAGGACCTTGTGCTTGCGAGGCAGGCAGCACAACCACTGAACTAAATCCCCGGCCAGCTTTAGCTTTATTTGTAATAGTTAAAAATTGGGAACAATCTATAAGAAATGTTTATGTAAAATTTACTAGATAAAGCCAGGTGTGGTGGTACAAGCTTGAAATCCCAGCACCGGGAGGCTGAGGCCGGAGAATTGCTGGGAGTTCAAGGGCACCATACATGGTGAGTTCAAGCCCAGCCTGAACTATACAGCAAGATCTTGTCTCATAAAATAAAAATTTTAAAAATTTACTAGATTAACTTGAGGGGATATTTGTAACATAGATTATAATTGCAGAGAATATGTACCATGGAAATGTTTATGCTATCCTTAAACATGATGTTTCAGGGCTGGGTAAATCGCTTAATGACAGAGCACTTGCCTAGCATGCACAAGGCCCCAGGTTCTAGCCCCATCACCAATAATAATAATAATAATAATAATGATGATGATGATGATGATGATGATGATGTTTTTGTCTGGCAAGATTTCTCTTCCTGTTGTCATAATGTGATCATTTTTTACTCAATCCCTCTTCTTACATCACCAGTTACTAAGTCATAATGTTCTTAAATCCATTTCTCTGTGATTCATTTACTGATACTATAGTCTACCAACCTTAAACCTAGATTATTGCAGTAAACTTTTTTTTGGTGGAGCTGGGGATTGAATCCAGGACTTTGTGCATTCTAGACAAATGCCCTATCACTGAGCTATATTATTAGCCCTACTGGAGTAATTTTTTTTAACCTATTCTTTCCTACCTGGTATGCCCCCCCAAGGACTATTTTTTCTAAGTTTCCAGGATGGAACTGTCATGTTTCCTGCTCAGAAATGCTCATTATTAGCTTGGCATTTAAGACCTACTCCAGTTAACCCCTTCCCTGCCTCCCAGTTGTGTCTTATAGCTCCTCTCATAAATAAACCTTTGGTTCTGACCAGAGTGCCTCCTTATAAGTCCGCTTCAATTTTCTACCATCATGCCCCTGCCTGCACTATTCTCTGGGTTAGATGCACCCTACCCTTTCTTTTTGCCTATTTATGCAGTACTCTTCCTTCAGTGTTCACCTCTTCTTGAGATCTTAGCCACTAGACTGATTATTTCTGCCTCTGAATTTCTAAAGTACTCATTGGATGTAGCAATTACTGTATTTATGACTTTTTCACTTACCTGTTTATGTCTTTTATCCACAAATACATAAGCTGTTTGAGGTCAAGGTGAGTTTTTATTGCTGTATGCTTATTAGCACAGGACAAATGTTCTCAGTATGTGTTTTTAAAGATATAGAAGTAGCATGCTTAGGAAAATAGTCCATAGGTTAAAGTAGTTGTCAAGATCTCAAAGAATTTAAGCCTCACTTAAAAGAAAATGCCAGTAAAAGAAAATGATCATAATTTTCAGGGAAGCTGTCAACTCAATATAGATGAATATAGTTTTCCATTCCAAAGGTATTTTTTCTGCTTTTACATTCTCCAAGGAACCAAAGATTCTAAATTAAATTCCTTCTGAAATTACAGGTAAATGATACCCAGTTCCTAGTTTGTTAGAGTGAAAGATGAAGAAGTCAGAATTTACCAGGGATTTGAGCTGGCAAAGAGCAAATTTATTAATTTAAGGAAGAGTCTGTTTTGTAGTAATTTTTCTAGTTAGAAATTTTTGAGGAGTGTAATTGCGCTTTTAATGAAAATTGAGGTCTAAATATTCTGGGTTAATATGGAATTTCAAGTTCTTGCTTAATTTCCTTAGCGCCAGCAGAAACTTCAGAAGGAACGCCTCATGAATGACTTCTCTGCAGCCTTAAACAATTTCCAGGCTGTGCAGAGAAGGGTGTCTGAGAAGGAAAAGGAGAGCATTGCCAGAGCCAGAGCTGGATCTCGTCTTTCTGTAAGTCACTTCCCAAGACCTTTGCAATTTTGGTGTGGCCCCCCCCCCCAGATCACCCCCCCTTAGGCCATTGGCCTTTGTTTACTATCACCCAAAACAAAACATATTCATCAGCTGGAGTGACAGTGCCAGATTCGTATGACTTATGTGAAAAGTATGTGTGTGACTGAAGAGAAGAATATGCACAAGGGTTAAGGACAGGGAAGGGAGAGCTATATGTAATTTTCTTTTTGATTTTGTCTTGTTGGTCTTACATTTTAAAAAAATCTATTTCCTAGAATATAGTAAGTTAGGTTACTTGGATTAGCTCTCTTTTTGAAAAGAATTATCAAATAATGGAATCTAAAAACCCAACTTCAAAGTAGCAAAGAGCCATGCAAATACTAATGTGAAAATCTCAGAGAGGTGAGCAGAGAGAGCACTGTGCTGAGTTTGCAATGAGTGCATTTGCTGAGGATAAACTCAAGCTTCAGTTTTAATGCCCTTGGGGCATGAAGAGGATAAAAGCCAAAGCCTAGGGTCTCTGTGAGGTGGAGGATATAAAGAAAATTCTCTTCAAATTAAACTGGACCTTAAAAGATTATATTCTTGGGGTAAGCCAAGAGTAAACCCCCTTTTCTCCAGCGGTCCACAAAAGGGTTACTTTAGCACTGAACTGAGCAGGTGGTAGAGAAAGGCAGAAGAGAGAGGAAGAGCCACAGTCACTTCAGGCAGATATATTGTGTTGCCCAAATTCACACTACCTGGATGGTCCAAAGCCTCAAGGTTCAAGTGGCCCTGGAAGGAATCCCTTCAATAGTTCCTTAAGTGCAGTAAGTAGCACCTGGTTAACAATAGCACCCAGAGAGCCAGGTGTGGTGCTACACCCCTATAATACCAGTACCCTGGAGGCTGAGGCAGGAGTATCACGGTGAATTCCAGGCAAGTCTAGGCTACATAGCAAGACCTAGCTAAAAAAGAAAAAGAAAGAAAGTACACAAAGAAACAAATTATCTTGAACAAGAACTAATAGAAACAATAGTAAAGTGATATATACCTGTAAATAGTCTGCAGGACCAGGGATGCAGCAGAAAGCTTGTTTAGTCTTAACAAGACTGAGTTTTGTGGGGTTTTTTGTTTTGTTTTGTTTTGTTTTTTTGTTTTTTTGGTACTGGAGATCGAACTCAGGACCTTGTACTTGCGAGGCAGGTGCGGGTGCCACTGAGCTAAATCCCCAGCCCAAGAAGACCCTGAGTTATGTTCCCAGTAGCGCATTAAAAAACATAACACACTTTGTATATTAGGATTATAAAACAGTCATACTTACGGTGTTTAAAGAACTAAGAGATGGTGTAGTGGAATATGTGAGGCTGAGGAAGGAAGATGGCAAGTTCTAGCCCATTCTGGGCAACTTAGTAACTTAATGAATCCCTGTCTCAAAGTAAATAATAGAGGGGATGGCCAGGGATTTAGTTCAGTGGCACTACACCTGGAAGGGAAAGGAATATTTTAATAACCTTTTAAGATCATAGTTGATGCTTTTTGACACATCAGAATTTGACAAAAGCTGGGCACAGTGGTGCACACCTGTAATCTTGGCTACTCAGGAGGCTGAGGTAGGAGGATCCCAAGTTCTAGGCCAGCCTGGGTGATTTAGCAGGAGCCTGTCTCAAAAAATTAAAAAATGGATTAAAAAAATTACTTTGACAAAAGTTGATTTCATTAATCTAGATGATTAATTTAAATAATCTAAAAGAGTATCACTTTTTGTGGTCACATTTACATACTTGACTTGATTTCTTATCCATACATGATTTTTATGACATCACAATTTTTGTGTATTTGCAATTTGGAAAATACTGGCTCCCTGAGTTATGCAGGTCTTCTAAAGTGATGTCACCATCACTTTCATCAGAAAAGTCTTAAAATTTTGAGAAACTGTCATAGTTCTAAGTTTTCCAAATTCTGTTTTCTTGAAATTTACTTTTATTTTATTTTTTTTCCTTTGGTATCAGGGATCAAACTTGGGACCTTGCACTTAGGCCGGCTCGGTGCCACTGAGCTAAATCCCTGGTCCTTCTTCATTTTTCTTGAAAGTGATAGATTTATTTTGAAAAAGTTGTCTGCCAAATACTAATCTTTAAAGTATGTGTGTGTTTATAAAAAGTTCATAAGCCTTTCAATGTTTTATAAAACCATATCGAATAAATAGAAATATTTCTTAAAAATACAGATAGTTCAGCCTCCAACTCAGTTGCACAGTACTCTTCCTAGAAACAAACATCATATTTCCGTATAGAACAGAAGTATATGTATAACTCATTTCACCATACAGAATATTTTAAAAAGTATATTAAAGGGTGGAGACTTAACTAATTAGTATAGCTTTATCAAAGAAAAACTAAAGTGTTTAATGCATTGTTAACGGTTGAACTTAGGGCCTTTGCACTAAGCTGCACCCCCAGCTCCTTTTTTTATTTTTAATTTTGAGAAGGGTCTCATTAAGTCTCTAAATTGCCTGGAATGGACTTGAATTTCTGATCCTCCTGCCTCGGCGTCACAGTGCTGGGATTGCAGGCGTGTGCCACCGCATCCAACCTCTTCATTGTGTGTGTGTGCTGAAGAAGACAGTGATACTGGTGTAGTTTGGTGCTGCTTCCTTGAGCCATGGTCTCCACCATTGCTTTTGTCCATAAGTGAAGATGTTAGTACAGTGAAAAAGGCAAATAAAAAGATTTCTATTACTTCAGATAGTGGTGAAACAAATGAAAAGGTATTGAAAAAAATTTTTTTTTGTTTTGGTGGTACTGGGAATCATACCCAGGGCCTTCGCAGTGAGCTATTTCCCCAGCTCTTTTTTTTTTATTAAGTTGGCAGGGTTGGCTTGAACTTTTAATCTGTATGCCTCGGCCTTCCAGAGTACCAGATTATAGATGTGCTCTACCACACCTGGCTCAGTACTCAACTTCTTGGTAGACATGGACTCTCTAGAGGAAAACAAAGATGAAATACTTGTTCACAGAGAGGGCAGAAGTCTTAAATTCTATGAATATTGGGTACAATTGTCATGGACGTGATACATCAGGAACTTTCCTATCTGGCTTAGGGTAGCATGAATTGGAGCAACCACTTTGGAAAACATGTTAGCTGTATTTTCAGAGACAGGTATACCGATGACTCAACAGCTCTACTTACTATAGAGAAACCTGAATATCTGTACATCAGGATAGATATACAAGAATGTTTATAGCGGCATTACTTGTAATAGCCAAAAATTGGAAACATTAAAAAAAAGAAAACATTCAGGCTGAGAGTACAGCATAGTGGTAGAGAGAGCACTTGCATTGCATATATGAGGACCTGGCTTCTATTCCTGAACACACACACACACACACACACACACACACACACACACCCAGGTGTCTTTTTTTTTTTTTTTTTTTTCTCAGTACCAGGGATTGAACTCAGGACCTTACTCTTGCCAGGCAGATATAATGCCACTGAGCTACATCCCTGGTTCCACCCAGATGTCTTTGAGCAGTAGAACAGATAAATACATTGTGACATCTCAAAAAGCAGGACAAGGATGTATCTTAGCACAAAGGCCCCAGTTCCACCAAAAAAGAAAACAAAAAGCCAAGGACCCAGTGACCAGGTATCTGTAGTCCCTGCTATTCAGGAGGTTGAGACAGAAGGGTTGGTCAATCCGAGAGTTTGAAGTCAACCTGGGCAATATAGTAAGATCCCCAACTCAAAAGAAAAGGAAAGAAAACAAACCCTCATATTAAAAAAAAAAAAAAAGGTCAGATGTGGCACACACCTGTAATTCTAGATCTTGGGAGGCTGAGGCAGGATTGCCATGAATTCAAGGTCAGACTGTGCTACACAGTGAGTTAAAGGCCAGCCTGGAATGTATAGCAAGATCCTGTCTCAAAAACAAAACAACACAAAACACCAACAGTGTTCATGTGGGATGGGTAGAATTTCGAAATTTTTATTTTGTTTATCCTCTATTGCTGTTATAAAAAGTGTGAGCCATGGGCCAGGGATTTAGCTCAGTGGCGCTGTGTCTGCCTGGCAAGAGTAAGGTCCTGAGTTCAATCCCCAGTACAAAAAAAAAAAAAAAAAAAAGAGGGGGTGAGCCTTGAGCTCTAGGCGTTGTGGTGCATGCCTGTAATCTGAGCACTTAGGAGGGTGAGGCAGGAGGATTGTTTGAGGCCAGCCTGGACTACACAGTGAGACCGTGTCTCAAAAAAAAAGATAAACCTTAAAAAATGAAAGCAAGTTGGGTTTTTTAAAAAATCTTCATTTCTTTTTACATTACAAATGTCAGATATGCATTAAACTGATTTTTGAAGTTAGTTTACCACTTTGGTAGCTAATGTGCTATCCATGTCCATTAAGAAAAACTTCACAGGTTCTGAAATGTTTTTCTGCAAGGGTTCAATCTTTTCCTTTACCTTCCTCCAAATTTGAAGATAGGCTGTCATCATCATCACTACTGTTAGTCCCTCTCCTCTTCATTTCCTTCTCTCCATCTTGCTTATCCTCTCCATTTCTGTTCTGGGCCCAGCTGGAATACAGATTTGCTGTGAACCCCTTCAGACCCACTTCTTAGTGGAGACTGATTGCCAGAGTCCTGTGTCGCCTCGCAGATCCCGTTGGAGTCAAGGGGTGTCGCTTCTCTATGTTGTGGCTAAGGAAGCCCTTGTTTTGTGTGTCTGTTTGCAACACATTTCTGGTTAATAGCACTAATAATGCCATCTGCTTTCTAGGTGGAAGAGAGGCAAAGAGAGGAGCAGCTCGTCTCATTTGACAGGTAAAGGATTATTCACTTAACATGCTGGGTTGCCGATAGGTATCTATCTTTTTTTTTCCCTGTACTGGGGATCGAACTCAGCAGGCATGCTGCTACTGAGCTAAATCCCTGGTCCTATATTTTTATTTTTCATTTTAAAATATCAGTGAGGAAAAAGTAAAGGTGGACCAGGGAAAATTTGTCATCCAAAAAGTAAAATTAAAAAGTAAAAAATTACAGACTTTTGTAAGGTCTTTGAAGTATTGGATGGATAATTTCAAGATGAATAAAAATTCTAAGAAACTCACAGTCACTATCTGTGTGGGTAAGAAAGCTTGACTTTCCCGGAGTAAGTACAATCCCACAAATCTACGGAGTAGGAAGTCTCGGTTATTTTACCTGTAATTCAGATATAAATTCTTCAGCATTCCTGGGTCTCTGTTTATTTACCTTTAAAATGAGGCCAGTTCATCCTTGGGAATATTAAGAAGAAAAAGACCATTTGTATCCAAAAGACATTTCCCTTACCTTCTCCAATCTAACCCACAGATATATGTTTATGTTATAAGTTTGGAACTTAAAAATGTCTTATCATAGATATGTATCCATTGCCCCACTATCATATGAACACCACACAGCCCTAGGAGGCTCTGTCTTACTCAGTTTTATATCTCCAGGACAGGGAGGAAATCTTTCAAATATTGTGGAGCTGAGTGTGATGGCACATATCTGTAATCGTAGTACTTAGGGGACCAGAGCAGGAGGGTTGTGAGTTCGAGTTCAGCCTGGGCTACATGAATTTAAAGCAAGCCTGGGTTGTATAATAAGACCCTGTCTCCAAAAACCTAAATAAGCCAGGCTTGGTGGTGCATGCCTATAATCTCAGCACTTGGGAGGCTGAGACAGGAGGATTGCTGTGAGTTCGAGGCCAGCTTGGGCTCCATAGTGAGTTCAAGGGCAACCTGAACTACATAAGAGACCTTCTCAAAAACAAACAAAAAAACTAAGTAAATAAATATTGTGGAGATAATATATGATTTATACATACTTTCAAAAATGCATAAAACTGGTTTAAAAAAAAAACAAACACTTTTTGAGACAGGGTCTTGCTATGTAGCCCAGGCTGGTCTTATAAACTGTATTCACTTTGCAGCCCACGCTGGCCTCAAACACTGCAGTACTCCTGCCTCTGCCTCCTGAGGGCTGGGGTTTCAGGTGTGTGCTACTATACTATGGCATGCTAATTCTGGAGTTTCTAGGTATTTGGCCTAGTATAATAAGTAATATACCTTTCTTCTAAATATTTAAGAGTTACATTTCATTGGTTTTACTTTTGTTTTGTTATGAGGTATACAGTAAAGCCCAAAGTATAACCTTAAGGAAATCCCCAAAAACCAGAAGGTGTGATTCTTTTAAATTGGTGAAGCTGGGCATAGGTGGTGTATGTCTGTAATCCCAGCACCTGAGAGGCTGAGGCAGAAGGACTGCCACAAGTTCCAGGCCAGTCTGGGCTAACATAGTGATACCTTGTGTCAAAAAACAAAAACAAACCAAACAACAACAACAATAATAAAATAAATGAATTGGAGCTGGGTGTGGAGGTGCACACCTGTAATCCCAGCACTTAGGAGGCTGAGGCAGGAGGATTGCTGTGAGTTTGAGAACAGCCTGAGTTCAAAATGTAGGATTTGCAAGATTGCAGAGTGTCCCCCTAAGTAGAAAAAGCAAGGAGTCCCAGCCTCCGTAGTTCTGCTTCTCAGTTTTGCCCATGAAGGCTGAGACTTCCTGATATATTAGTTCTTTGCCTCTGCGCATGGAACTCTGGCCCTGAGGGACATGGAATCACAGAGGAATTGGGGCCCTAGCCATGTCTGCACAGGCTCTGCTGGCAGCAGAGGTGTTGATGTGGCTCACCATACATCAGACAGGTGGAATCAGCTAGCGTGCTTGTCTCCCCACAGCCATGAGGAGTGGAACCAGATGCAGAGCCAGGAGGATGAGGCAGCCATCACTGAGCAGGACCTGGAGCTTATTAAGGAGAGGGAAACGACAATTCGGCAGTTGGAGGTGAGAGGCAGGTCATGTTCTTGTTGGACTCATTTTGTCTGCAGGTACCTGGACTTTCTAGTGTGAATTTTCTCTCAGTTATAATGAAGAAGCATGAAATGAGTCATTGTGTATTTGTGTATTATGTCTCAATTTATTCCTGGTCATTCTGAACAGCTATGATGATACTGGACTTGGCACCTAGGAATACTTAAATCCTTTCCTTAATTTTTTTTTTCTTTTTGGTGCTGGGGATTGAACTCAGAACCTTGCGCTTGTGAGGCAGGTAGCAGAACTACCAAGCTAAATCCCTGCCCTCCTTTCCTTAAATTTTATAGGGTTTCCTTGAGATATATTCATGGAGAACAAAAGCAAGACAAGGACATGTCTAAGTTAGGCAGAGGTCTAAGTTAGGCAGAGGTCTTTGAAGAGCCTGTTGGTTAGAGTGAGTAGCTTAGGATAAAAACACATCAGAAGACATCCAGCGTTCTAGTTTCTAAAGTCCAGCTCTAAGTTGGAAATCTTATCTCTTCATTAGGTCTGGGCAATGGAAATAGTTTTTAAGGTGAGGGTTGAAGGAGAAGTCTATAGACCTTTTTTTCTCCATCTCCCCTCCACCTTTTGGTACTGGGGATCGAACTTGGGTTCCTGCACTTGTGTTGCAGGCTGCGGAACCACTGAGCTAAATCCCCGTCCCTAAGACCTTTCTTGCCTAAGCTCAGTCTGGAGCTCTGCACAATGCCCAGTAAAATCTTTCACCCAGAAGGAAGATAGAAGGCAACTGCATCCCTGTGGCAGAGGTAGGAGAGGAGGGCAGTGGAGAGAATGTTAGCTTCTCCTTGACCTTCATCTGTAGCAGTGGTTCTGAATCCTGCACATTAGAACCACCTGGGGAAAAAATTTAAATACCCCAGTTATCCTTTCTCACCACTAATTATTAGATGAAGCCCCAGATGATTATAATGTACAGCCAGGATTGAGCCCCCCTCTCTAGAACCATCAGTATCTATTTTTACATGGTACAGTTTTATCTTCAATTAAGCCATTTTGTTGCTTTCAAAGATAATCCAACCATCTGTCTGTCCTTCCTCCTTTCCTGCCTGCCTGCCTGCCTTCCTTCCTTCCTTCCTTCCTTCCTTCCTTCCTTCTTGCAGTGCTGAGGCTCATCTTTCCTTTACTGTCTTCTTTCACCTAATGCTGCTAATCATTGATTAGAAATGCTCTCACAGCAAGGAGGAGAGTGAGAGATACAGAGCTAAGGAAAGGCCCCTTAGGAGCAACATTTCATAGGCTTTGTTTCCATTGCCCTTCTGCCTGTCCATATGTCCAGGTCATTGGCCACTGCCTGTGAGTCAGTTAAAATCCAAATGGGATTTTACTTCCATTTGTCCACCCCAGCACACTGGCTTCTATATATATATATAGCTGGACATGTAGCTCAGTGGTAGAGTACTTGTCTAGCATGGCCCTAGGTTCAGTCCATTTCATAGGCTTTGTTTCCATTGCCCTTCTGCCTGTCCATATGTCCAGGTCATTGGCCACTGCCTGTGAGTCAGTTAAAATCAAAATGGGATTTTACTTCCATTTGTCCACCCCAGCACACTGGCTTCTATATATATATATAGCTGGACATGTAGCTCAGTGGTAGAGTACTTGTCTAGCATGGCCCTAGGTTCAGTCTACCAAAACACACACACACACACACACACACACACACACACACACACACACAAATTGTTTAATGGGCATCTTTACTTGTCTTTTGTTTAATAATAATATTAGGCAGATAGATGATTTTCTGTTTATAGAGAAAGTATGTTTTATAGAGCTTTTAAAAACACGTGGGCCTGTAGGTATAGCTCAGAGGTATGCGTGCAAGAAATTATGGGTTCAAATCCTAGCACTACAAAATACAAACAAATTGTGGTATGTTCATAGGTAAGGAGAGAAAAGAAATCTTGTAACATGGTGCTTGTTTTTCTTTCTTCTTTAGGCTGATATTTTGGATGTCAATCAGATATTTAAAGATTTGGCTATGATGATCCATGACCAGGGTGATCTGATTGGTATGTATTATTGATAGCTTTAACCTCAAGGTGAGTTGAAAGTATCTGTGTGCAAAGAAATTGGTGAGACATGTCATCTACATACTTAAAATTTAGAAATATTATTTAAAAATGATTGAATTCATTTTCTTTGCAAGTTTCTTATATTCTCGGATGTAGAAGTTAAAATGAAATCTCTTCGCTTGTCATATTCCTTGGGGAAGTCTTTGTTTAGAGAAATAGTTGTCAGCCTCCTAGCTTTTATCTCTAGAAACTTGTACAATTATGATGGCAATAACTTTTTTAACACTTTTATGTGGGAACAATCTAATTTATAAAAAATTGCAAAAGGGGGGATGTAGCTCAGCAGTGCTGTGCCTTCCTGGCAAGCACAAAGTCCAGAGTTCAGTCCCAGTACTGGGGGGAAAAAAATTGCAAAAATAAAAATATAAGGCATACTTTTATACCCTTATTTAGATTTATTTTTGTTAACATTCTGCCCCATTTGTGAGGTTCTCTCTTTGTGTTTGTGGGTGTAGGTGTATATATATAAAATACTTTCTGAACTATTTATAGGTAGGTTGTTTTATACCCTTTACCCCCTAAAAACTTTAGTAGTGTTTATTTTCAAAAAATAAGGATATTCTCTTATCAAAATAGTAACTTTTAGGGCTGGGGATTTAGGTCAGTGGTGCCACCTGCCTCACAAGTGCAAGGTCCTGAATTTGATCCCCGGCATCAGGGGGAAAAAAAAAAGAGTAACTTTTGAGGCTGAGGCAGGTGGATCACCATGAGTTCAAGGCAAGCCTAAGCTACATAGTGAGTACAAGGCCAGCCTACATAGCAAGACTCTGTCTCAATAAACAACAACAACAACAAAAAAAGATAGTTAACTCTGAGCGTGGCGTGGTGGTGCACATGTGTAATCCCAGCACTCAGAAAGCTGAGGCAGGAGGATCGCTGTGAGTTCGAGACCAGCCTGGGCTACATAGTGAGTTCCAGGTCAATCTCAAAAGGTAATTAACTTTGATTTCATGGCTATTTGGTCAGAATGGTGATGGGACCCATAACATCAAAAATCTCTTCAGTGTGCAGTCTTGAAACATCTGAGCATGCTCAAACATCCACTGTGCTTTTTGCAGACAGCATAGAAGCCAATGTGGAAAGCTCAGAAGTGCATGTCGAAAGAGCCACTGATCAGTTACAGCGAGCTGCTTACTACCAGGTAAAAGCAGGTAGCAAAAAAGTCATTCTGTGCTGCAGACTTGATGAGTATCAGGACATTCTGACACACTGAGAATAGTTGCAGCCTCTCTTATGGGCTCAAGCTGGAGGCAAGTAGTTATAATTGCAGTACCAGTTCCAGTTTTAGTACTTCTCTTTACAGGGAGAGCTACCAAATCATCAACTCTTGAATAAACTTTCCCAGAAGCTTCTTAGCTACAAACCTAAGCCCGTAAGCTAACAAGGTACCGACATCTAGCATAAGACTAATCCTATATCCTACACAACTGAAATGTGTTGCAGTTCAGTAAGAGGTACAGGTAAGATAGGATTTTATAGGTGCTGGACATTGACTGTTGCCACAGAGGATGGACATAGGATCAACTATGAGAGGTATTTATATATGAATAGAGATTAGTCATCAAGAAACTGTACCTGTGAGGTGAAATTCTTCTACATATTAATTGAAACTCTGGTTTTACAACTTTTCTGGGTCTTTATCTCAGTGTACAAATATTGACACTTCATATAGGAACAATCTCATTTATAAAAAGTTGCAAAAATAAAAATACAAAGTACTACTTTATACTCTTATCCAGATTTACTTTTTGTTAACGTTCTGGCCTAATAATTTCCCCTCAATTTGGTATTGCATGGATTTTTAGAAATAAATAGTATTTTAGTCACAAGTCTGATGCCAGCCTGGGCTACGAAGTGAATGTAGAACCAGCCTGGACTATGTAGTGAGACCCTCTCTCAAAGAAACAAAAAAAGGAAGGATTTAGAATATTAGAAAAATGTTTATGATAAACATTAAGTGAGAAAAACTATGATCCAATAATGTCAAACAGCAAAGCACGTAGATAAGAAATCAGAAGGAAATACAATCAAATCAAAGTGTTAATGACTGTATCTATAGATGATTGTTTTCTCTTTCTGCTTGCCTTATTTTTACAATGAACATAAAATTTTTAAATATATATAAAACTGTTCCTAAAAATACATACACACAGGGCTGAGATTGTGGCTCAGTGGTAAAATGATTGCCTGCTACATGTAGAACCCTTGGTTTGAGTCCCAGCACTGCAAAAATAAATAAAATACGTACGTACTAATTTTATTACAAATAATGCGTAGCTGCATAGAGTGTAGCTCCTTTGCAGAACTGTATTTGGGAACAAGTGAAGCCTGCACCACTGCCTTGCCCTGGTAACTGCTGAGATTTTGGGAATGGTCGCTGCATATATGTGTGTGGATAGAGAACTTTGAATTACAAGGAGGTGGCTTTATGAAGCGCTGTTGGAGTTGATAGAAAAAGGTTTACTTATTTCATGAGTATCTTCTTTCCGTATTTCTTTCCTTAGAAAAAATCTCGCAAGAAGATGTGTATCCTGGTGCTTGTCCTGACAGTGATGTTTACAATCTTGGGATTTATTATCTGGCTAGTTTCTAAATGAAGTATGAGTGCCTCAGAGCCTTCTCCTGCTGAGTTGTTTTCAAGAGCAAGTGCTGGTTGGACTCTTGCCAGAACAAACTGATCACAAGAAGAGAGCGTACACCAGAACATCCTGTAATAATTTAGTTAGAAACTAACTGCTAACTAGTCCTTGAAATTAGTGACCTCTGGAGACAGTATTTATCAGTTTATGTATACATTTTATGGATTTCTCAAATTAGGAATGAATTTACATGGACTTTGCTTTCTCTTGAATTTTGATTGACCTTTGTCCCAAGCATTTCCTGAAAATTCCATTATAGATATTCTTTTTTTTTTTTTTTTTTTTT